CCCGTGCGGGTGCCCCGTCACCCTCCCCGCCTCTCCTTGGCACGTTCCTGGTTCTGCAGGACGCTGCCAGCGAAGGAGCTTGGTTTGCCTCTGCCCGCGTCCCACCTTAGCCGGTGCAGGACGCCCCGGGTCCCCGGCCATCGAAGTCCCTGCTGGGACCCTGCCCACCCCCTTCTAACCATCCAGCAATAACCGTGCCCACAGCCCCTGCTACTTCCAGCCACCATTCCTGTTCCCAGCTCTGTCCCCGTCGGTTTGGTCATGAAGCAGCCCTGGAAAAACATCACTTTTAATCGCAACGCGCGAGATCTCGAGAGGCAGCGTCGCTTTTCTGTGCCGCCTCTGGTGATGCGAATGGAGGTGCAGGGGCACGTTTCAACCTAGGCACGGGATCAAGGCATTCTTTGGGAAGGGAGAAGTCCATGCAAAGCCGGCCCCAACGTGAAATTCGAATTTCGTGTTTACTGCTTAGCTGGGTCTGTTCAGTGCAACAGGACGAGTTGGCTAGGAGGTTACTGACACATCGCATGGATGCGTCCAGTCCGCCACGTCGAGGGAGCAGGAGGAACCAGATCTATTCAGTGCGCTGGGAGACGAAGTCCAACACGAAGCGAAGTGGAGAAGGACGCGGGTGTTCCCTGAATGTGGTTTTTGGTGACTGAGAAGAAATCTTTCCTTGGAATTCCTTCGTGCAGCTAATTAAGACAACTGGGTCTGATTTCCTCGACCCACGCTGACATCAGTGAGAACTGGAAGTACTCAGCACCTGGAGACAAAGTGAATAGCAGACACCAACACCTCTTCCGCTCCCACCCGCGGGACCGCCCAAAGTGCCGAGGCGGTGGCCGAGATGCTGCGGGCGGTAGCAGCTCCTCACCCGCAGCTCACGTTTTGTCCTCTTCTGCAAGTATTGCCTAGGAGAAAACACAAGTCCCAGCGGGTTGTGCCGGTAGGATCTGAATCCATGGAGGAAAATGGGGTTTAATACAGAGAGTGACTGTGCACGCCAGAGTCTCCCTAGCTTCATCCTTTGTAGTCCCAAAGCCTGGATTTAGGCGACCTTTGGCTCGTGGATTGGGGTTTGATCCAGTCCATTCGTTTGCAAGCTGCTTGTGAGGCTGGGCTGCCCGCGGCCGAGATCTGCCCGCCGGAGAGAGCAGCTCCGTGGCCGAGCATCTGGGCAAACCGGTGCGGGGTGACGTTCCCGGGAAACGGGGGCGCAGTTGCAGGGACCCAGGATCCTTGTTTGCTGGTTTGAGACTGTCGGGGGGGGCTGTCTGCTGGGCGTGCTTTCCCTGGGCGGGGGGTGACGTTGAACCTGTTGCTGAAGTAGGTGGTGCGGCTTTGGAGAGGCGAGGGAGGAGTGCTTCATGCTGGTAATGTCCTGTGCAGAGGGTGACGATGGCAACAGCAGCCGATCGGTGCCTCTGCGAGGGGAGAGCCTTTCGAGCAGCCTGTGTGTGGTTGTGTGGCCTGCTCAGACCAGCTCGGCAGGGCCAGGCCTATGTCTGGCGACGCCGAGCTCTGCAGCC